TCTCTCTCTCTCTCTCTCTCTCTCTCTCTCTCTCTCTCTCTCTCTCTCTCTCTCTCTCTCTCTCTCCTCCTCCATCCCTCCCTCCTCTCCCTCTCTCCCTCTCTCTCCCTCTCTCTCCTTCTCTCTCTCTCTCTCTCTCTCTCTCTCCTTTTTCCTCTTTCTTTCTTTCTCCCCTTTAATGCTTTAATCTTTCTCTCTTTCTTCTTCTCTTTCTTGTTTCCTCTCTCTTTTGCTTCTTTTCTCCCTTCCTGCCTCTCTTGCAAAGTTATATTACTTGATGCCATGTATTATTATATTTATTGAATATCTGTTTGTACTAGTAGTCATTTATTATTAATCATTAGCGCAAGAAGAGTTAAATATCTTAAAATTCACATAGATTTGGTCCAATGTGCTTAAATTTTTCGTATATAATTACAAAGTCCATCTCATCGATAATATTTATATATTAAAAATTAAGAATAAGTTATGTATAAGATAGTCGGTGTGTTCCTTACAAAGCAGTTTGACGATTAAGATTTAGAGAGTAGAAAGCAGTCAAATGAGTAGTAGGAAACATACGGTGTACCTGCTTCATATATACATCGTTTCATTGTTAAACTGCTTTTAAATTTAAAATAGAAAAGCGTTTTATAATGGAAGATAATTGAAGTTATCATCCTGTACTACAAACATCAATTAATTTATGTCGGACGATTAATATTAATAAATCACTAAAATACAAATCATTTAATTCTTTATTTAATCTACGGTAATTGTCAAACAGATCAATTTCCTCGCTGATTTCACTTTGTTTTTTTAATTTAATATAAATCCAGGCACTAATCTTTAGATAAAAACATTCTAAATTTAGAGATATCATATGATACATTACATAATACGGGATGATTAATTCAACTATTAATTAACTAATAACTGCAGGCGCTGCACAGGAAACGCACGTTGCGATTTTTATACTGTGTAAGTGAACATAGTGATTACTAGCGGACATACGTACTCGTGTTTATATGTATTGTTATATTATTGCCTAATAACGAAATATATAGAACGTTATGAGACTTACAAGATGTACTTTTTCTTTTCCCTCCTTATCAGATTCCGCCCAAAATAATTATGGATATATACAGCATGTGCATGTGCGTGTAAATATTTTCAACATAAAATTATTTTTAATATAACTGTACTTTATATTGTAATTTTGAAAAATTTTTTTATAAATAGAAAAGATAAGAAAAGTTGTCAATTAATTTTTATAAAGAATCTTCTAATTATATAGAATATATAATACTAGAATAATGCTCTTAAGATTAAAACGAGTCTATTTCCGAATCAGTTGATACGCGAATTAATCTCTCAAATAGAGAAATTAATGGAGACAAGATGTGATTTTTGTTTTCAAAAAAGTTAATAATTTATTTAGTTGTTCGTTTAGTTGTTCGTTTCTGGCCAATAGAAATTTTTACAATGTGTAATTTTGTCATGATAACATAATGTGCGGTATTCGGCGATCAGACAGAGAGAGAGAGAGAGAGAGAGAGAGAGAGACGG